CTCTTCGTTACTCACGGAGGTCTTGGAAGTACAACTGAAGTCGCTTATCTCGGAAAACCTGCAGTGTTTGTAAGTTCAACCGTTCATCATCACACATTAAACAACAAATGAAATATTTTCCTTTACGTTCTCTAGCCATAGCTATGAACTGTAGCCATCTAGAAGACCTTATACGCTAACACATTCTTACAGATTCCGTTGTTCGCTGATCAAGTGAGAAATTCCATTATGTTATCAAGATACAATGGATCAGTTTTGTTATCCAAGCAGGACTTGAAGAACAAGTTGATTCTCAAAGAGACTTTGGAAAAAGTACTTTATGATAGAAAGTGAGATTGTGTGTTTTACCTATTCCATCTTGAAGTCTTAAGATATTCTATAAACGCCCAGAAGCTTTCGGAGATTTTGGTCAATAGCCCTAACGATCCAAAAGAAGTATTCTTGAAACATGTTGAGTTTGCTGGAAAGTAAGTACCTCTATCAATACATAAGATGTATGTTTCATTTAAGAACTGGAAGAATTCCAAACTTGGACTCATATGCTCGTCGTATGAGTTTCATACAGTTTTTCAATATTGATGTTCTAGTGTCAGTAGTTCTAGCTATTACACTTTCTCTAGCAATAATTTATTATATAATTAAGAAATTGATAAGTAAGTTAAGAAATGTGAAATCAAAGCTAGATTGATTTGAACTTTGAAAGACACATGAACCCTGAATGAAACATACACGTATTCGAGCGAAAGAAATAAATGAAAATATTTTAAAGGAAATTCCATTTGTTTTGGTTTTTTAATTGTCCAGTACAAACACAGCAAGTCATCCCAGTGGCTGTTAGCATACAAGTCATCTCCTCTGATTCAAACTCTGAGCAATCCATCAAGTCAATATGCTCACAATCACCTAGAATACTAAGCAATAAATAATAATTTAATTTAATTATTTTCTTTGTTTTTACCACTTTCAATGACTGCATTGCTTATATGACGACGACGACGACTATCTGATTCCTCACTAGATGATTCTGAATTGAAGCGGCGCAAGTATGCATCTCGGCTTACAGTCGGCTCCCAAGCTACAATCGGAACACCTCCAACAACATCTAATGGTATTCTAAAGCAGTTGAGATATTAAGTTCACAAAGTTTATATTCAAACTTACATTTTTCCTTCTCTCTCTTTGATAATCTTACGAAGGACACGCAAAGTATCGGCTCGACCTTGCACCAAAAGATTATTCAAACTATGAACGAAAGCGATACTCGTGGTGATAAGTAAAAGTATTCTGGTCATTATTCTGAAAGAGAATGAGAGTTCAAATAAGTTTTTCTTGAGAAATGAAGCTGATCATCCGAAAAAGGAAAACAAAAAGCGACTGAAAGAAGAAAAGAAGAAGCAGAAAACGGTGTTTTCATAAATAATCTGAAGATAAAAAATAAACAAATCGTTTACTCACGTGCACAAAAGGCTTCAGAACTCAAATGTTTCTTAAGAGAGATGATAACTGTTTCATGCATGTTCTTTTAAATGATTTCAGCTTATATACGGTTTCCGCTTCCGGAAAAACAGGCGGAGCTTTCCGGGTTTCCGAGCATGATCACCAATAAGCTTCAACAACAAACTCTCGCGCATCTGTCCACTCTCTGCTCTTCTTTTCCTTTTTTTTCTTTGTTTTTTCTAGATGAGTTAAAACTTTCTTCTTAACATTCATGTGATTTTAGGAGAGAGAAAGACAGAGGCGTGTCTAGTCGACTTCATATGGACAAAAACGAAAAAGACAATAATTTAGAAAGAAAAACTGGAAAATGATGTTCTATTCTATGAGTCAGAAGAGGCTCACACACGATGTGTTTCATAGTTTATGAAGAAGAAATGAAAGAAGGATTGTTCGAAAAACCTCTTATCACCTAAATACAACAATTGCTTAACCTGTTTGTGTTTATTGTAAAATCATTCTTGGTACATAGACACCTGTACTCAATAACGCTAAACAGAACGGCTATCTGAGTTTGCCATGCTAATTATATGGAATAGTAAGCAGTTTTCCGAATGATGCTTTCGTCATATTTATATTCTCCCTTGATTTATGATCAATCTTCAGCTTATATGGATAATAATGGATCATCATAGATCTTCATCAGCAGAAATGGTTTCTGGCTTCTGTACAAAAACGAAAAAGGAAAAGCAGGAATGACGTGATGTGGGTCAACATAGAAGAAAGAGAGAGATGTTAAGCTAATAAGAGAAGAAGACTCATTTTCCAACAATAATCAAACAAAAGCTCAAGTTTTTATATTTTTTCGTTTACCTTCTGTGGTACTCTCTCATTTCTCCATCATCTCTCTTTCTGCTAGCATATATAGAAATCGTCTGAGATAATTATAAAACACATAATTAAGCTTACAGAAACCAAGTTTCATTGAGATGCATGTTTCTATTCAAATTTTGGTACATAGTCTTCAGAGGACTTATAGATAAGGAAACGTCATCAACTGGAACGGACTGGACACTCCAAACATGAGGATGACATTCCTTAAAGAGGAGAAGAGAAAGAGCGGAAAAGCTATCAAAACACGGCAAGAGAACACATGTTTCACTTCCCGTTTTCTGTTCATCTTCTTCTTTTTCTTTTTTTTCTCTTTTCCTTATTCCGGAAACAGAAGAAGCATATAGTTAACGGAAGGATAAGAGCAAGAGAAACACAGAGGAAGAAGGGAATCTCACAAAATGATTAAAAATAAATGAAAATCATTATTAAAATATATAATTATATACATTTGTATGTGTGATAAGAGAGAGGAAAACTTGTTTGAAAGCTAACAGGTTTAAAAATACGTAAATAATAGCCTTTTTTTGATATAACAAAATGTTTATTTTAATAGTAAAAGGAATAAATAAAAAAGACAAAAGGATATGTAAAACCTTAAGAATATCCGATTACATTGACACATCAAATACATCGTTTTGTGACATCTTCTTCATCATTCATCACATCACTTTCTTCCATTTATAGCTGTTTGAGAATGAACATTTTCATTTTTTTTCTTCTAATTACTGTTACACATCATATGTGTATTGACCGAAGTCCTTATTGTAATTCCAATGATTGTACTGTACGACCTGGATATGCACGTGAATATTGCAAAAAGACTTGTGGAAATTGTAAAGGTTTTATTATTTTTTTATTTTAAACATTTATAAATGTATAATAAGATTTCTGTCATAATTCACACTTTGTATCATGTCGGAAGGAGCGCAAATCTGAATGTGATGCCATGCTCAAAGACTATTGTCCTCTGCTCTGTGGAGAATGCAAAGAGGTTAAAACGAAAAACGATAAAAAGGTTTTCTATTAGTTCTATATATGACTCACTTTTAATTTCTAAGGTTAAAGTTAACAAAACAACGACAACAACGAAGCTTCCTTCAACAACCACTTCGGTAAAGAAGCTCTCAACTGACCTTTTTCAATTCACACTTACAGATACCATACATTCCAGAGTCCAATCATGTGGAATTACCGTTAGGGAAGTTCCTTTCTTCATAATAACATCTTAAATTTCAGGAGAGTAGATGCAACTCTTTTCAAACCGTATACCTTTCAAGAAAACTTCATCGAGACACCAGCAAAGCCGTTGAACATTGACGTTGAAGCTTCGGATGCAGATGATATCGAATGGATTCATGAGCCATCAGGTTTATCACTTCAGTATTATATTCAATAGCTAACATGTTTGAAGATAACTATCATGAAACATACGCTCCTCACAACCTAAGCTACTACCCCGAAATACCTGAGCCTTCACCATTAACCATTAAGTGAGTCAGTGCTACTGTGAGTCATTGCCGACAATATTTGAGGCGATGATGTCAACTTCAAGACTAATCTCAAATGCTAATGGGTTTCAGTTCAATGTGGATGAGAAGAGGTCCACAAACATCTAGGAACTTCAATGTCAATCTACCCAGATTTGGTGCTCCATATCTACCCCAGACACCTCAAATGAACAGAAGGATCAACTATCCCATGGCGAACCGTTATCCCAATCCATACAACCAATACAATCGTCGTTTTTCTCCGCGATTCATATCAGGAAATCATATGAATTATAATCCATATTCATCACCTCAATATTCTGATGAAGCAGTCGATGTAATTGATTTGGTCTCCTTGTTAGGTAAACATGTGCCACAAAGCCTTTCAACATGACATGATTAGGCTGTCGTGATAGAGACCCCGCAACTTGCTCGAAAATTTCGATGGAAACATGTCTTGCTCGTCCTGGATACTATTTGAAGTTGTGTCCCGTCAAATGCAAAAATTGCAATGGTAACTAGATGATAACTCACATAATCATTCATTGCTTATAAGGAATGCAATGTTTTGATTCCGTCAAAGTGGATTGTGCAGAAGTTCGCCGACTTGGTGGATGTAAATTGCCTACAGCTAATGAATATTGTCCGAAATCATGTGAGCTGTGCAACCCTCCAGCATCTTTATCAGGTACATGAGAATATTGTTCTATGATAATGTGTTGTAGAAGCTCTATCTGTTTGCAAAGATGAATTGGATAATTGCACTGACTTGGCCGAGTCCGGTATCTGTCATCATTCGCATAGGTGAAAGAAATCCTCTTTTTTTTTGTTTGCTCAAAAAATACAATGTAAACGTTTCTTATTCAGCAAGGAAGCATTGAGAAACTATTGTGCGAAGAGTTGTGGCTACTGTAAGGATGCTCAATACTATATGAACGATATCATTCAAACAAAGTATGTTTTAAATAAATTCATTATTAGATTATAATTTTCAAATAAATATTTCAGTAAACAACATCACAGATAATGAGAATCATTTTTGTAATAAATTGAATATGAAGAGACCCGTATAAGTAAGAAAGACTTGATAGCTAAAGCATTGATCCTCCGTTAAAGAAATCACTCAAGATTCCGTTCGAAAGACGGTCCATCCATTGTAATTGAAGCTCTACATATTCCAAGTGTTTACTGATTCCTCCTTTCCATTCGGGAATCAACGATCGAACCTTAATTGTCATTCATTAATAATTCAGATTTTTAAATTAATATTTATTTGTTATTTTTTGTTTTAATAATAAAAAATAAATCTTACCTGGCGTAGTTCATCCAATGTTCTTACTGAATGAATGAGAATCTTACTGGCTGGCCCTGATAGATTCAGATCATTTGAGAATAGCAACTCTCTTTCAGATATATTTAACTGAGCAATCTGATTCCATAAGGCTGATCGAAATTTCATATTGTAATGAAGACTGAAGTCAGACTGCAATGGTTGATACTTTACTATCGCAGAACCTCATTGAGTACCTGTAAACTCAGAGCATAGACCGCAGCATTTCTTGTTGACACTATTTGTTTTGCTGCTAAACGAGCCATTTTTTCATCTCGGGCACATGCTGCAAGCTGGACGGCCGTTGACCATTGCGTTCCTCTTGTTTTCAACAAGGCTTCCAATAAAGCAATCTGATCATTTTTTTTCATGCAGATTGGTTATTAGCTAATCATACCTGTTGTTCCGCTTTGTTGATGTGTAAGAAGTGACAAACAGCGGTAACTTGTTTATGAACGTCTTCTTGTGATGAAGTTGGGTACAAAAGCCATTTTTGAGCCTTAAAAACTGATGAGAATGATATAAGATGCGTTGGAACCTGAACATCCTGTTGACACGATTCCAGATTGCAAACACATCGTAATTGATATAATTTGGATAGCCTTAATGATATATTGAATCCGAACGAATTTGAAGTATATGAAACCTGGTTGGCTCTATCAACCATAATGCTGCCAACTCAGCATCTGCTTGACTCTCCGATAACAGTAGATCAAACTGATTGATAACTGGCGTGATATAGAGTAACAGAGAATTGCTCATCGATGATCCTCTCCAGATATCAACCGAACGATGTATCGCGTCCAGTCCTATCAAGGCAACACCCAGGTCTGTTTCGTCAGATAGATAACTGCAATATGCAATTTCATTCAATATTTCTTTTCTCTCTCAACCTTAGAAGATAGAAGTACAGATGAGGTAACTCGGAATATAGAAGGAACGTTTCTGCATCAACAATCAATTGCATTCGTGATTTTACAGGAATTTCGTGGTGGTTTTCATGAAGCTACACACTGTGATTAGCTTTCAACTCAGTTTGTGAACTTACCAGTCTTGCTAACATTTTCCAATTTGTAAAATCATAATTGACTCTATAAGGGTAAGACCATTCAGGGTTAGCCAACAATGCTTGGCTAGGAGACAGCTCCACATCCGTAAATGACAGAGTTCGATTCTTGAGCCAAAACTGGCGAACAACCTCAAATATTCTCTTCAACAACGGTGTATGAGATATCACTCTTGTTTGAGGTCAGATTGACACAGCAACTGGGAGTATCACATGGGAATTATTAGAAAACTTAGAATAAAACTAATTATATGGAGGATGGGTTAAATTAAAGCAAGAAGAATTTCGTTTGACCAAATAAGGAGACATTTTTACCTGTCCCTCAGTGCTTTTCATCGAACCAAACATATAGCTGAATGGAATGGACCACAAATCGTTCGGTTCCGAAACTTTTCGAGCTTTTCGTAGATCATCTCGATGAATCTCTACCATTGAGTTAGACCATTTCACATGATTTCTTTGGAACTGCTGCCGAATACGCTAAAAGCAAAGCACAACGCATCAGATTCCAATACCTCTGTTGTGATACCTTTTTCCTTTTTTTGTTTTCTTTCCTTTTCTTTATTTTGTCTAACCATTTTTCGGGTATGTCATCGAAGAGGTTCTCATCAAACGATTCCTGAGGTGCTGATCTCTTAGCACGAAAATGATTCCAAGAGTTTCTTAATAAAATAATATGATGCCTATTCACTTTATGGTTACCTCATATCTTTGCTATTCAAGAAAACCTTGAAATCTTGCTCTCGAGATTGTTGTTGAGAAACACGAATTGTATCGCTCTCGTAAGTCCTCCTTAAAGACAGATTTTTTTTCAAATTTACATAAGTGAAGCCTTGCTCTCTCATTTCCCAAAGTACTGACGCATTGAGCGGTTGCGCCTACTTACGTTATAATGACGACTGGTAATCCCTCGTTCACAAGCCAACTTTCCATGACATCAGACAATCGTTCATTTTCCGCACCATGATCAGCATAAGCTGGTAGGGAAGCCCACAAATCGTCACGGGAGACAGCTCGAAAAGCATTCCTCCGCAAATATCTCAAACAACATTTGTAAAATTCAGTTTTCCATACAAACTCTTGTCAGCTAGTTTCCAAACAAAAGGAAAATAGCCTCGTATAGGACTGTTATAGAATTACCTGCGAACTCCACTCCGAAAGTCATAATCAGATACCAGGTCTTTGATCATTTTAACGATGACACTCCCTTTAGCATACAAATGAGTTGAATGGAATGATTTCTCTACTTGTTTCTCGGTTTGAATGTTCTGGATTAAAGCTTTTTTCTCCATTCCAGACTTCAAATGATTAATTCAATTAATAATATAATATGTCCAAAAATACCTGTTTACGTACTAAACGCGTCAGCTTCGTGAAATATTCATTTTCAGTCAAGCGTGGATGATCTTCATCCAATAAATCATAAACGAAATAAGTTGCAAAGCCTTCATTGAGCCAAAGTTCATTCCAATCAGCCATGGTCACAAGATTACCAAACCTATAGAAATGAGAAGTGAGGAAGAAACATTACTGTTGTTACCATTGATGGGAGATCTCATGTGTGATTATTTTCTCTATTTTGTATTCTTCATATAAACGGTCTACAGTCATGTTTATGTGTTCTTAATTTATATAATTATGTGTTCATAGTGGCTATGACAAACCCTCTAGCACTTGATCTAGGAGAAGTGATTGATAATCAAATATGACTAAACCCCAGTTTTCCATTCCTCCGACAGGGAATGAGCGAGCAGCTACGAAATCCATCTTAGGTATCGGGTAGGGAACCTCAAATATGATTTATTCATTCTATGCCATTCGTTTCCCTCATACTTCTAGCTCTTCTTCGTGTTTATCAAAAATGAGAGGAGAGAAATTGGCAGCAAAACGAGCAGAAAGAAAATCGTCTGCGTGTGTCCAGATGGTAACAGGAATGTTTCGATCTGTTCTCATTTCAAATGGTTGGAATATCCCTGAATTCAGATTTATTGAGAAAAAAACGATTTCAACTCACCAACGGCAAAAGCGAGCAGATAGATTGACATGGGTGGTGTCTCCAGGAATGTCGTCGTTACAATATCACTAGGGAGTGCTCCTTCCGACTTGCGAATTGAAGAGTCTGATGGTGGCATATTGGACAAAACTGTATATTTTGCTTCATGAGTAACAGAAACATTGAAAGTAGCCTGAAATAGCTTTGTCATCACAGAACTGGTCAAGTTGTTTACTTTGATTCCCGGCTCATCCCAGGAAGGAATGAATGATCTGGCTAAAGCTGGTTCAAACTTGGTTGTGAACGACAGAACTTCTGTTTGATTGGTCTTTAAAGGAGGAGAAATAAAGATCTGTACTTGATCACTAACCTCTTTAGCGTCCAGAAAACAGCGAACCCCATCAATATCTTCATCTGAGTTTTCACAAATCTTCGTCGAGTATTTGATTTCCAAGAAATATCTTGAAGAAGGTTTGATTCATTTGTTTGACTATGGTTGTCTTACTGTCCGTTTGGAATTCTTTCCCGCAACAGTAGGCGAGCTATTTTCTTATTGTTCTCCCTTTTGACACTCTTAACCGATACCCTCTTTCCTGAACATTTCTGATGAATATATTATGATACTTTCATCGAACCGTTTTTCCCTCTAAATTTCAAGTTTTGAATCTGAATTTTAGGTCCTATGTGGAAAATGATCTCATCATATGTAGCATTCCCAAATGACTCTAATGTTATTGTGAGATTGGCTTCTATGAGACGGTCAAAGGCAAATTTGGAAATGTCCAGCTTGAATCAGAATCTGAGGTAAAAAATAAACTAGAACGCTTACTCTGAGATTGTAATGAGTTGGAAGGATGTGAAGAGGTAAAGGTATTAAAAGGGAATCTTTTCCTTCTTCTGAGTGAGTTGAATGTAGCTCTTCAAGAAAGTCATAAGGTTCAGAGGATGGAGGATAGACATCTAATAGTGAGAATGGCTTTGTTATTCTTTGTAACTGAAACATAATGTTTAAGAACATTGTATAAAAGAAAGAGAAAGTGATAACCGGAATGATCTTCTCTCTTATGAGTCCACGAGAAGAAGTCGTTGCATCAGAAATAATATTAGGTATAACTAATTTCCTGTTAGTATTTGTTAAGTTATTTGAAAGTATTATGTGCGAATCAGATGTCCAAATGCTCCCCAAGTCAAAGACAAGCTTAATTAGTCAGTTTGTTAGTATAAATTAGGATAAAGCTGATAAGAACATAATCTTTTCTTGTCTTACCGGCTTATTTTCTGCTCGTCGACGAGCGTTTTCATCTGAAATCCATTGCCCTATCAGGAATGCGAGGAATATTGCGAGTATGAAGATAGCATTTATTAATAAAACCAAAAGGCATCGTCGAGCATAATCTGGTTTACGTCGTGATCCCCCTGAATCTATATCATATAGTTTATAGTTTTATATTATTATTATTATACCAGGTGTTAATACTGATCGAAGAGGCTCAGATTCATCCACGCAGGATTCTCGAATATGCATTTTCACATTCAAATCATTTGATAGTTTCTTTAACAAGAATGATATGAATTAATGGGAGGGACGAATACAACAGAAAAAAATGGTTTAAAAGAGAAATGAGATTGTCTGAGAGAGAGAAAGAGACAGAGAGAGAGAGAGGGGAGTGAGATATAGAGAGAGAAAGGAGAGAAAGCAAAAGCCAGTTTATCGCAGACAAAGCGTTCAAAACTTTTTTGTTTTAACAATTTTATTTCCTTCTATTACAACCTTTTTTCCATTTCTCAAATATTCAAATGTGTTTCATTGAGCAAAAAATGTTTTTTCAATGAACGATTGAGGTTGTTGGAAGTTGGCAGACGAAATGGTGCGATGAGAGAGAAAGGAGGTGGAGGGGGAGAGTTGTGACACTGAGTGTGAGAACATAGAATGTTCTGTTAATAACCAAATGAGGTCGTGATATGTAAATAGTTTTAATTGGAATTATTTTGTATGAAAATACAATAGAAATGCCAAATTTCACATGAACAATGAGTTTTCTCTTTCTCTCCATTTCTCTCTCTCTTTCTGTTACAGTAATTACCTGTCTCATTTTACAAAAGCTCTGCTCTCTCACAACATTAAAGTCTTTTTCGATTTCTCTCAGTTGTTTTGAGAGGGAAATGTCCGTCAAAAATCCTTTTAATAACCAACCAAAAGTGATTTTTGAATGAAAGAAAGAAGCAAATTTAAACTTTTTCTTGTTGAGAATTTCATTTGCAACATATGTTTCATGAAATTTATTGTTCGTCTCTTAAATAAAGAAGAACAATAGAAAGAATTCAATATGCTAATTATACGTCATTCCACGTGTTCCACACGCAAACGTCTTCTTTCATTTTTGAGATTTTAGAAGATGAAGAACGGTTGGCCAATATTGACATTCACATATAACAAGCAAAAAAACATTTTTGAAAATTGTTTTACGAAAAATGAAAAAAGAAAGTTTAAAAGAGGGTTATAAGCACTTGAAGATTGCAAAAAACATGTCATTTGACGGATGATTTAAGAGAATCAGCTATGAACTTTGTTATTATTTTAATGAAAATAGATGAAGAAGAGCTTTTACTTAAGGGAAAAGTTAAATCGAAGTTTCAGGTGGGGTCTTTTGAAAAGATTCAATGACTGAGCAAAAGAAAAAAGAATAAAAAGAGAAAAGAAGAGAGTGAATAAGATAGAGAAGAAGAGAGAGAGAGAGAGAGAAAGAGAGAGAGAGAGACGAGGGAGAATAAAAGAAGAGAAGTCAATCTTGAAGCCTTTTAACTATTCTTATATTTCTGTTTCAAGCTGTTCGGACAATAGCAAACTTAGTAAAGCACAATATTCTTTGACAGAATTCAAGAAAAGGGCAAATGTAATACCTTATAAGTAAAAAAAAAGGAAAAGAAAAGGAGGAATGAAGGAATTTTTGTTTTAAAAGATTGAATCTTATCGATGCTTTTCATTGCAACTTTTAGTTCGAATTGAAATTCTCTCAAGACTTTCAAACTAATCTAGGAGGGATTATTAAAACCTCTACGAGAAAAATCCTCAAACATCTTCTATCGGGGTGTCCATTTTAGGGAGTAAAAACATACATTTTGGCCATAAATGCATGTCAAAGTGGGAAGTATAACTCTAAAACCAGATAGTTTGAGAGAGAAACAAAAGAAGAGAAATTGATATAGAGAGAAGAAGGGTTATTACTTTATGAGGGAGGAAGAGACTGATATTCAGAAGAGACAGAGAAGAGAAAAGGAAACCAAGTAAAAAAGAAAGTTTGGGCATGAAATTCGAAGAGAGAGTGAAAAAGGGAGAAAGAGAGAAAGAGTTTGGTGGAGGGATAATGATTCCAGAAGAAGTAGAAGAAGAAGAAGAAGAAGAAGACAACTTGCAAGTGAAAAACTACATACGCGGAGAAAATCAAATCAAAATCATTGACTACCTAAGTTTTCGTCCATATGTTGACCAAAGTAAAAGCTTATATGATAACGAGGAGCTATGGAAATGTCTTGTTTGGTCATAAGTGATTTGTGTTTTGGCAGAAAGAAGAAGATGAAAATCACAAAAAGACGGAATTAGCCCTCAGGCGGAGCACGAAAGAAGCTTATTCAATGAAAATGGTCTGAATATGAAAGGTGAATTGAAAATGGTGACAAAGAGTTGAAGTCTAGAGATAGAGAGAGAGAAATAAAAAGAGAGAGAGGGTATGAAAAAGAGGTAAAAAGAATGGAGGGAAGAAAGTTGAGATAAAAGAGATGAGATAACCTTATGTTCATAAAAGGAGAAAGAAGATGGCAGATGAAGATTAAAAGTGTTGGTGACGACGTCAACAAGATGACAACCGAACGAAGAGAGAACGCAAAATAAAATTAAACAGAATGACTTCTTCTTTTTTTCTTTTTTTAACAAAAATTTTTTTTTATATTTTCATGATGCAAATGGGAAGGGAGGAAATGACCGGAATAAATCTGTCGTCCAACGACAGAATTTGTGCAAAAAAAAATGGAAAAAAAGAAATTTTTATTTTTTAGTCAAATAAGGGAAGAATGAGTTTGAATATTCTCTCTAATGAGGTGAGAAGTTTGAGATTACTTGAAAACTGATATCTCAAGAAGAAGAAAGACGTTCCATGTCATGTGGCCTCTCATTATCTCAAATTTGACCATGGGAATCTATTCTTTCCAAATGCAGTGCAGTACTATATGAATAACCTTTTTTTTTTATTAATTTAAATAATAAAAAAAAAGAAGAAGGAGATGATGAAATGTTTACACGGGGAAGGGCTTAAGAGGGTCACTTGACTTCAGAGTCTTGTAGTCAAACATCTTTCTTAATTATACTAATTATTCTTTCATTTCTTCAGCTTCTAACTTTCATTGAAACTTTCGTAAATACGAAAATCATCAGCTGTCTTTGATTTTCTCATTCATTCTTGTGGATAGTAGTAAGCTTATACGTCTCCGTTGCCGGTGTTGGTGTCACTTCATTGTTGATTTGCGTTGGCTGTTGAACGGTTGTTCTTGTTTTATGAGTTCACATAAGCTTTACCAAGCTTTTCTTTTTCAGCTTTAAGTAAATCCCTTAAATTCTTTTATTTTTTAATTTATTTCCTATAGAATCGTGGGAAGAAAAGGAATCCTTAAAGAAACAGAAGGGATTATATCATGTAAGATTACACATGAGGTCATCGAATGACCTTTCTGGTCGGGTTGTGAAGAAATATTTTTTTGTCTTCTTTTCAAAAAAGGAGTAAAAAGAAGGGAGTGGTAGGGAAGGAGTGAATTGAAAACTTTCGTACCTAAAGCTGACTAATCTATCTTTACTCTTGACAACTGCCTATTGACTTGGCATATCCTGACAAAGCTTTAAAGCTCATTACCCTCTTCTCTCATTCTCATCTCATTAAGATTCTTCTCTTCTTTATTCTAAACTGAAATTTTATAAACATCTTTATGTTAAACAAAGTTGGATAAAAGGTGTTGTAAAGCTTTTCCATTGCATTCGCCTTCTCTCTCAATCCTCACTCACAATGACCTTTCTGTCTTCTTCTTTTTATTTCTATTAATTTCATTACATAATCACATCCACATATGGCATATGCCTTATGAAGAAGTCATAACAAGAGAAGAACGTTTTTTGTGACTTCCATCATGCTCATTGTCGGCTTCAGATTACCAACATCTGTCGGATAAAGATGAAACGAAGCTTCTTCCAAAAGCCTTAATCTATCATTTTGACCTCCTCCTAATAAAATTCATTTAATATAACTAGGTGATCACTTGACCATTTCATCTATATTTCTTTCATTCTTGCGTGTGTTCTTCTCTCTCTCTCTCTCTTCTTTCTTCTTCTTTTTATTTTCCATCATTTTCCTTTTTATAGAAATCCCCTGGCCATTTGATCCATATGTAGCTCAAGTTCTCACAACACAGCCATGTTCTTTTCGAAGACTTTTCCATATTTTTTTATTCTTTTCAATATCATTGTTGCACAAAAAATAGTTTTAGTTGTTGGTAAGTTCATTCTCACTTAGCTATTCACTTCAATCTCATTCAGTTGACGGTTTTGGTGGTTCTATATACCATCGTTTTTCCCATATGCCCGGGTTACGTACATTTGAGGAGGAAGGTGTATGGAGTACAAAGCTCTTATCAGTCTTTCCAACATTACCTTTACCTACTCGTCACAGCCTCATGACAGGTCAGTTTCAATCGGAAAGAGTCATAAACAACTAGCACTATTGCCAGGCGTTTTACCAAGAAGGCATGGAATTATTGGAGATTACATGTTTGACTCGCGCACAGGAGCGACGTTCAATAACTTTACGGAAGAATCTGATTTTGATCGCAAGTAAGCTGCTTTAGAGTGATCCCTGGAGAATAATCGTTCATAAAAAAAGAAATTTTTAGACAATGGTGGGCAAAAGAACCAATCTACATAACAGCCACGAAACAACGCGCAAACGTAGCCATGTTCTTCTTCCCTGAATGCAAAGTATCAAATCTTTTTCTTGCATATCCTATTTGCTCTTCGTTGCATTACTTTTGAGAAAAATAGATTCTTGTTTAAGGTTGACTGGGTTCCATCATTAGCACAATGTGTCCCACCTCGTAAAGGAAGATCCTTTACTGACGACACTTCTGCTAGAGCTATTGTTGCAGCAACAAGGTTTTTTTCTGTTTTCTCTATCCATATAAAGTATTCTACTAAAGATTCCATGATCTCGTAATGGTTTATCATCCGGATATACGTATAGAACATTCCAAATTAGGACCTCGTAGAGTTAATGAACGAACAACAATTGAAGTCGACAAATTCCAGCAGGTATTCTATTACAAAACAACCGCTAACACACGCTATAACATGCCAAATGAAAGAATCGGACAACCGCTCGTGTTTCAAAATGATTTTGTAAATGATTTTCCGATTCTGATCGCATCATGCTAACAGTGATAACAACACAACCGCTCTGAGTATTCTGTGATTCTCAGAATAAAATCTAT